AACCTTTCCTATGTTGTCAAAACAACTTTGACTTCAAAAATATTCTATAATCACTATCCCTGGTGAAAATCCATTTTGCTAAACTCTCAGCTATTCCAAAATTATGAGCAGGGCTTCAAAAAATTATGGGATTGAAAAATGGTAAGACTGTAAGAAAAACATCATTGAATACTGAGGTCATGGAAGTTGGCATTACCAGTGTTGATGTACTGCTTTCAGTTTGAGGGAAGGCGGGCGGATTGAAGGAGCACACGTCCCTGCTGGCCAGATCACCATCTGGTTCAGCTTCTAAGATCAAGTCTTCTCTGCAATTAACTCCTCTACTTCAAGAAAAAAAAAAAAAAAAGAGATACAAAATTAGTTGTAATTGAAGTGTAACATTAAAACTAGAGATGCTATACTTTGAAGCATAAATAAAATTTCTTTCCAATAACGGATAAACAGAATAATGTTTGTCTTTGCATATCTATTTATGCCCAATAAGGGTAACATTATCTGTTGCTTCTCACAATGACTCAAATGAATTATAGATTCACTTTATAAAATGTAACCTAATTCTCTCCATAATCAAAATTTGGTTAGAATGATGTAAGTTGCCAAACTCAGCTGTCCTCACAATCCAAATATAGAGTACTAAAAACTTGCTTATTTGAAACAAAGAGACAATAAAACACCAACAGTTCACAGAAACAGAAAACACAGGCACTGAGTACACAAATGTATTTTACATCTAACCAGCTGTATAATAATTTGATGAATCCCAGATGCTGCAGTAGAGCAAGGCAATGGCATAACTATGCAACTTCTTTGAAACAGATATATATTATTTAAATTTCTTCCCGTAATAACAACGAGATAGACAGATTATGAGTTTCAGCCTGAGTTTCCTACATACACCAGAAACCAGAGTCCTGTCAGTAAGCCACCTCGTTGGTCAAAAATGAAAGGTACTCTGATATTTATTGTGAGAAAGTAAGACTTTCCCAGATAGCCTACAAGAAAAAAATCCCACCTTTTTTTTCTTCCAAAATACATTAATTATAAAGAGTCCTGAAGGAGGAGCTGAACTCCTGCTTTTGCTCAGGACACTCTGAGAACTTTCACAGAGTAATCTTCACATTGGAGTTATGTAAACAAATAAAATCCATAAACCACTTCAGACCTGCCAGACTTATATGGCACAGCAAAAGGTATGAGGAAGGTCGGTCAAAGATTCATTCCCATTGAAAGATTGATCTAACACTGATAAAGCAGGGCACGGCAAACAGGGAAACACGGAGAGTGGGAATGGGGAAGAAAGAACATCAGGCCTGTGAGAAGGGAAAGACTCCAGATTTTCTCAAGGTGACAAAGTTTAGACACACCTGGCATGTTCTCTGGCCACAGTATGAAATGGATTCAAAGGAGGACCAGGCTTCTCTGATATTTTATGTTTACATGAAGTCATTCATAGTGCAATCTATTTGCCTGTGGAATGTCCAGCTACATGTAAAGTTCAGCTGCTTTATCAGAAAGCGGGAAAGGAGAGGGGGTCTTTTCTCTTTTAGGTTACTTGTCCTAGTTTTGGATTTGTGCTGGAAACAGAGTCAACACCACAGGGATGTTTCAGTTATTGCTGAGCAGGGCTTACACAGAGCCAAGGCCTTTTCTGCGTCTCACACTGCCCCACCAGCGACTGAGCTGAGGGTGCACAGGGAGCTGGGAGGGGACACAGCCCTGACAGCTGACCCCAACTGACCACGTGGATATCCCACACTGTATGGCACCAGGCTCAGCATATCAGCTGGGGGGGAAAGGAGGAAGAGGGGATGTTCACAGTGATAGCATTTGTCTTCTCAAGTCACCGTTACCCATGATGGAGCCCTGCTCTCCTGGAGATGGCTGAACACCTGCCTGCCCATGGGATGTGGGGAATTAATGTCTTGGTTTGCTTTGCTTGTGTGCACAGCCTTTGCTTTACATCTTAAATCCATGAGTTTTCTCATTTTTACCCTTCCAGTTCTCTCTCCTGTCCCACAGGGAGGAGTGAGCGAGCAGCTGTGCGGTGCTAAGTTGCCGTCTGAGGTTAAACCATGACAAGTCTTTTCTCCTTTAGCCTATTTTATTAAATTAAGTAATATCACATGACAAAAAAATCTAATGCCACATCTCCTTTAGGACTCCCCAGTGGAGCAATGTGCTTTTAGTTGCTCTTCTAAGCAGATACCTGCAGAGTCGTCATTTCCTCAAGTGCAGCTCACAGATGTTCTCAAACCAACCCCTTGCATCACATTTGGCACTGGGACAGCTACAGAAGTCATCACTCCCAGCCTCCCACTTGCTCCTCTGCCAGAGGTTACCATAATCCCAGCAAGGATGAGGCTCAATGGGACATGTGTTGCAGTACCAGAGGCCAGGGATTGTTAATTGCAAATCACAAATTACGTTGATAAGTAAAAAAGCAAATTGCAGGCACATGGGTGCTACTCCCTGTCCCAAAAATGCTGGGTAAATAGCCAAGCAGCTGGCACACACCAAGCTCTGCACCATCACCACTGCATTCCTTGCACTGCTACGGGGTTTGACTAGTCTAAACCAACAACTCAATACAGACACATTATAGCATGACAAACAGAAAACTTAAAACCTGTCCTTTGGAAAGGCAGAGGACACAAAAAGTGTAGCTTTCATTAAAAAAGCAGAGGAAAGGCTGCCTATATTACAAGGGAAGCACCAGAAATTCAAGTGACCCACAAATAAAGTCACTTGTCATCATGTTTCACAGGGGATGGAAAGAGTAAAGGTGATCCTTGGCAAGTTTGCATTAATTGTTCAAGCACTGACTCCTACTGCTCTGCAGAACACTCCAGATCTCCCTTTTCTGTGATGCCCAGAGATCAAAATCCCTTACTAACATCTGTGGACCTTCCCAAGACCTGTTCAAACTATTAGGTTATCAATTCAAAAAGAAAAAAAAATTAGAAAATGTAAGAGTGAAAAATTAAGGAACTGCAGTAAATAAATTCAATTGAAATGTAAGCATTAAAAATATGGAAATATCAGTGATTACTCATCATTGCTGCATTTCCTAGTTTACAGGGTTTGCTAAAAAGTCTGTAGGTGGTTGCAGAACTCATATTCAAAAGATATAATTAAGATCCTTCACATATGTTTAGAAGGTAATTTTTGCTGAGAATTTAAATCAAACTTGATTTAAAAAAACTAGAAATTCTTCCATAATCCAGGACTCAAAGATTCTTTTACTTTTTAGGTTTGCCATTTTAGGTGGGAAACTCATATCATCTATTCTCATCATAATTGATTAGACAGGTTCATTAAATACTTCACTTAGTTCCAATAAGTAGTCTGTACATAGTTTCTAAAACCAAACCATTTTAAATGCAAAGCCTTTCTAGAGCTGAACTTGCCTGCAGACTCACTCGGAGGCTGTCACAGGAGTCTCTGCCACAAGGTCCAAAACCTCCCTCACAGTGGTTATCACATCAGCAGGATTACACACATTTGTCACGTTGTACACATCGTGAAGTCTTTTCTAACGTGTGAAACCCCAACATTAAACTCTCTGTAAGAAATGAAGAAAAAAGACCTCTTCTCAGGTGAGAATGACAAAATAGATGGATTAGCTAAAAGGATTAGTGGCAGTCTGGTATATATCCTACTAGCCTAGTTTAAGAACTTATTTATGTTACCATTCTTCAAGAAAAAAAATAGCCCCCTTTCCAGAAACGATTAATGTGGAGTCTTCAATGGAGAAGAAAATATTTGCGTATCATGCTGCAGTTTTACTGGAATTCTAGCCATGAAATGTAAGATCTGCTTTAATTCAGCCAGTGCACAGACACTAATCTTACAGGGAATGATTAAGCTGTCAGTTTAAGAATACAGTGTGGGATTTTTACAGTTTTCTTTATATTGTGGCATTTAGTTTAGTTCTGTATCTATGCAATTTTTAAGGAGCTTTATTGCTGCAGAGTTGGATCTAGAATATAAAGTACTGGTGGCTTTTATGAGCCTGTCTGGACTATCCAAACAAAAAAATCCTTGTAGTAGGCAAGTTTAAGGCACTACTACTCATGAATTTTAATGAGTAGGCCAGCATACATATGCAACACAGCCCTGTGCTGAATGGACTCATAAGTGTTTTAATGTGTTACCACTGGCTAAATTCTGAGGAAAGATAGAGTGGCTGAGACATGTGCTTTAGATCAGGATGACCTGCATTTTCTTCTCACATCTACAGTAGCTTGTTCTGGCCACAGTACTGTGTGTAGAATACAGGGTACCAGGAAATGAAGATGGCCAAAAAATCTAACTATATCTAGAAACTGTATTTCACAGTTGGTTTTGCCTTTTCTTTTTTTTTTTTTTCCATAGTCTTAAATCCTAACCAAGCAATGACTGATGAAAATGTTCTTTTTGTGAGCCGCAGTCAAATGATCTCAAATGAAAATGAATGTCCATACCCTGGATGTCCCATTCATCTATTTCTTTCAAATGCCAAGTCATCTCTTGGTCCACAGAAAAAACATCAGCAAATCCAATAAGCTAAAATCCCATAAGTGTTTGTTTTTCAGAGTTTTTAGAAGTTCACAAAGATGTATTTCTAACATCTTCAAAAATACTGTTTCTTATATATCCATGAAATTATACACCTATGGAATACTGACCCCAACAAAAACATCTACTATTTTGTTAAAGAAAAATGGTGTTTTCAGGTTACCTGAGCACCTCATTTTTTCTTTTCTTTCCCTGGTGTCCTACTCCCTTTCTTTTCTACCTCACCTGTCACACATCTGGTTCTGGACCACTAAACCTGTGTGCATTTTAATCCATATTAAAGGAATGATTTTCTTTATATGAACAGTCCTGAGAATACAAAGTGTCTCTCACAACTGACTCTGTGTCCTGTCTGCTGTGGCTTCTAGAGCATGGTCACCAGCCAAACTCAGAGATCATATTGTAATTTTATGAGGCCAATGCTTTTTATTTCTTGCCTGTTGCTTCCATGTTCTCCCAAGCTTCCATGTTCTCCCAAGCTTCCATGTTCTCTCTTCCATTCTCCCAGAGAATGCTGGATGTAGGTAAACCTGAAAATAAAATAGGTCAAGGGGCAATGTTTTTAAAAGCAATAAGAAAGAAGCACTCTGTTAGAATTTTCCATTAAAGAATAAAAACCCAAACATAGAAAATATCTGTTTGCTGTTCAAACTTCTCTGATTCTAGTCCTATGGCAAAATGTCATGTAATAAGTAAATAAATAAAGAGTAAAACTATTATTGAGAAAAAACAGAATATTCTGTGAAAAACTGGAAAAACTTAACAAAGCAATCTTGTGTTACCCTTTACTCTTCTTGATTATTTTTTTAATCTAGCAGCAAATACAAATACAAAACTTTTGATAGAATAAATGGTTCTACCCTAAGAGTTCTGGGATAGCAATGTACCTGTCTCTGAAACACAGAGAAAATTTCAGGGATTAGCAGGTTGCTGAGCTGAAAATCCAGCAATAATCGGTAGCTGATACACTTGAAAAACTTCATGGAATTAGCACTGGTTTCAAGTGGGTGGGATCACAAAGGAGTAACTTGGTCTAGCAGGCGGCATCCCTGCCTCTGGCAGGGAGATTGGAACTAGGTGATTTTTAAGGTCAAGCCATTCTATGACTCTGTGATATGCAAACTCTGCTTTAATTCCCTTTGATCTGTGTCAAACCTATTTGAAGAACGCGCTTAACTCACACCACGGAGACTCGAGCTCACAGTTGGATTAATCTGAACAGTCTGTCCTGGTTCCAGCCCGCTGTAGCAGTCTGTGGAGGTGAATGAGCCATCCAGAATCAGGCTGCTGAGGACTGGAATTCAGGAGCCCCCCCCCAGTGGTACCACTTGCTGGATATGCCTGGGCTACGAGCTGACCTGCCTGGGAGAGATACAACTTGTGCAGGGCACTCCCTCTTCATCCTCTCTCCATTCACTGGGACACCTTTTTTCTCCAGGAGGGCCAGTTGCTACTCCCAAACCACATGTTGCCTGTGAGCACCCTAAGCATGGCTTTACCATGGCCAAGAGCAGCACGGTTTTGTCAATCCACACCCATGGCTATGAGGGGAAGTGGGCCAGAAGGAGCTGCCAAGGCAGACACTACCAGCCTGCTGCAGGGCACAGCCGCACACCAGACTCAGCCCTAGGGTACAGGGATGGGACCTCTCAGGAATTAACATCACGTCTTGCACATGCAAGTCTCCTTCAGATCACTCTCCTCATAGCTCAAAAAGCATATGTTTGTGGTCTTGACCATCAGAAGATGTGGACATGCAGTTCGGAGGGTGTGGAAAGCTGGTCACACATCTGTAGATCCTACAAACCTGTGTCAAAAGCTGGTTGTCCCAGAAATGGGCAAGGAGTTTCCTGAATCATCTGTGAGTGAACTAGCCTGACTGTCATTAGCAACCCAGTGGCAACACCCCACAACTTAAATTCATTTATCCTTTTAAGTCAATTCTTCTTACGCTGCTTCATCTGATCATTAATTGGTGTTTTTTTCAGCTCTCCTTGCAGCCTTATTTTCCTCTGAAAACAAGGTCAGATACACATCTGACAAGTAACTTATGCTTGCACAACCATAGAAGTACAGATGTGAGTAAGTCAGGCTGAATATCTTAGGTGAGGGGGTAGAAGAGAGGATACATATCTAAATCATACATTGAACCCTAAGCACTGTATAAATTAGTCTACACGGTTCACTCCATCTCCCTATGCCACTATCTGTCATGTTAATTAGTGGGGAAAGACAAGAGAATGTATACGAAAGATGCCAACAAAATGTATTTTTTGCCTGCTATCAGGTGGGAGTAGAGTTTGAGAAAAACTTCAGGCAATACAGACACAGCTTCCTAGGCAGACAGCTCCAGGTTGCCAGGGAAATTAACTGAAAACAGTGCAGACAGAGGCTCCCTAAACTGCCTTCACTTGGTGATTAGGTTATTTTAAATCTCTCAGGAGATTCCATTCCACTTAAACGTAGCGCGATAAGAGACAATTAGTGATCCTCTGAGAGCGGTCATATCTGGAATAGCAAGCAGCACACACTTCCCCTTCCTTCCCAGTCTGAGATTTGTGGTGCCCGTGACCTTCACTACAGAGCCATGCCTTGTAGGTAGCAAAGGGGAAGAAAAGAGCTGAGGCACAGTGAGTTTCCCTCAACAGCAGAAGGAGATGAGCTCTGGCACCACTGAGACTCACACGCCCAATTTTGCCAAAAATCAAGTATGAAGAGAAAAAGAGGAAAAATAAACATTTGTGACAATCACTAGTCCTTCCTTACACAAACTTCCTAGAAGCTCAGCTGTGCCTGGTTACAGGTGACACGGTCCAAACTTCTGCAGAGGGATTGACCCTGCTCTTCTGGAGAAGACACTGAGCTGACAAGCAGTGGGGTAATGGCCCGTAATGCCCCACTGCTGCCACTTTTTCTGACGGCTACAAACTGGAGGCCATTTCCCTGTGATTGATTTTTTTGGAGCTCAGACTGGCTCTGTTCGTGTTCCTTGAAACTGCGTCACTGGGAGCTGACCTCTGGATCCATTACAGACTGCAGCTCCTGCCGCTGGCAGAAATCAATGCCCAGGAAAAGCTTTGTTCAGTATAGTTTGTAAGTGAATGTGTTGAATCCAGGGTACAGCAGCTCTAGTCAGTCAGGTAATACAGCTGCCTGCCTCCCCCCTACTCCCCCACTTCAAACCCAGTTTTTTATTTGCAGTGGACTTTTCCACAACTGTAGCACAGAGGAAGGGCAGTGAAATTATGCATACAACTACTGTTATACTTACCTGGATACAAAACCCTGTTACAGAAGAGAGAATAGAACCACACTTAGAAACAGGAGGAATGAAAAGTGGCTTTATTTCCCTTTGTCTCTGTGAAAGAGCATATCATAGAATCATAGAACCATAGAATCATAGAATCAGTTGGAAGGGACCTCTGAGATCATCAAGTCCAACCCTTCACCCAACACTGCCGTTTCTTCCTAATACCCAACCTAAACCTCCCCTGGCACAGCTTAAGACCATGCCCTCTTGTCTTACTGATAGCTGCCTGGGAGAAGAGATCAACCCCCATCTGGCTACAACCTCCTTTCAAGGAGTTGTAGAGAGTGAGGAGGTCTCCCCTGAGCCTCCTCTTCTCCAGGCTGAACAGCCCCAGCTCCCTCAGCCTCTCCTCATAGGATTTGTGCTCAAGTCTCTTCACCAGCCTTGTTGCTTTTCTCTGGACCTGCTCCAGCACCTCAATATCCTTCCTGAGCTGAGGGGCCCAGAACTGGACACAGCACTTGAGATGTGGCCTCACCAGTGCTGAGTACAGGGGCAGAATCACTTCCCTGGTCCTGCTGGCCACACCATTCCTGATCCAGGCCAGGATGCCATTGGCCTTCTTGGCCACCTGGGCACACTGCTGGCTCCTGTTCAGCTTCCTGTCAATCCAAACTCCAGGTCCCTTTCTGCTTGGCTGCTCTGTTCCCAGACCCAATGTAGGCAACAAAAGCAATTTCAGGGGCATAACAGGGGATTCTGACACTGAAAGGAACTCCAGGGTGTTATGAAGGTGCTGGAGAAGATGACGTTAAGAAGAGAAGGTACCTTCTCTTAGTCAATAAATAAAAGCTTGCCTACTAGATACCTTGCCTGAGACATCACTGGGTGTGGGGGAAAGATGGTGAAGGAAAAACAAACAGGAGAAGATGTCTGCCTAGAAATTCTGGCCAATATGCCCTCTTGAAAATGGAAATTAATATGCCAGTGAATCATACCTCAGTTGAGAGGACCTCTGCTGTCAGGCCAGCTGCAGACAGAGGGAAGAGCACACCAAGTCAAACAGAAAGCTTGACCCAAACAACGAATACAAGAGCCAACACTGCAGCACTCAGGTCATTGACCAAATAAACCCATAAAAAGGCAATGGCACAAGCAGCAGTGGTTTATGTATACCTCACACTGGTGAGCTGCAGGACAGCAGTGGAGACAAAACTAAGGACAAGTGCAATTCAGTGACAGGAAACATAGCTCAGACTGGGCCACCATCATGATGACCCAGAAAAATCCTCAGCCATCTGCTGATGTATCACAAGAGAATCATGAGAGGTGAAATGCCCAAATGCCCAACAGAATGCAGGCAGTAGCTACAAGATAAAAACAAGATGTTACTCTTGCAATTGCCAAGCAAACCTACATGTGTTGCAAATTCAGTTGTTTTAAAGAAATGTGTACCAATTAATCCTATATCCCTTAATATGTTTGGTTATAGAGGATGCCTGCAGCAGGCAGTATCTAGCAGCCTGTGTTGACTACAAGCATTTCCAAAGAGAAAAAGACTTGGTAGACAATCCAACCCATATGCACCCTTAACTAACTCAGATTTTCTTTCCACCCTGCTGAACGTTCAATATGTACTGAATTTAAGTTCTGCAATAAATCAAAGCAATTAAAAATAGTTAACAGTTGTGTTTACATGAGAACAAGAATTTTGAGATAATTATTCTGAAAGTTGGAAGTGGAACCAAGCAATCTGTCTAATTAGCTTTAAAAACGTACTCCCGCTTTTTGGAGTCGAATTGGAAAGGATTTGAATTTCCGAAAGTGTTGCTCAAATATTTAAGTTTTAACACCAGTCTGAAAGTTCAATATGTGTTGCAAACCACTGTAATAATAATGATGGTGATAATAAAACTTTGATAGCAGCCATCTGCCCATTCCAGACAGTTGAATCATTTCCAGTGCTCCCTGAGAGCCAGGACTGACATGGATTTTTATACACTATATCACAGACAGTATATGCAGGGTCTGCAGCCGAGACCTTTCTGTAATGACGTCAAAGAGGCTGTGCAGCCAGCTTTTAAAATTGCTGCAGGCTCATCCTAATGACATTAGGATATAACAGATGAGGAAAGGAAGATATGTATATCAACATTACAATAACAAGCAAGGACAGCTCACTTTAGCTCTGGAGGCAGCACTTAGGTTATCCTCCATAGAGCTGCTCTCCAAAGTTTGCGTCAGTGGAGGAGGTGGGGTGTGAATTCCATGACTAAGGGGCATAACTCAGCTGGAGAACCTTTTAGTGTGAAGCCTGGAAAAAAAAAATAAAAGACATCGGAGTTATTAAGAACTTAAACAAGAAACTGGAAAGAGACTTCAGCAAGGCATTTCGGTTGTCTGCTTGCAGACATAAGGGTCAAGTGCACTGTTAAGAACAGTCTATAAGACACAGCTAAGCAGTTCTTCCAAAAGCAAACAAAAAAATCTCAAAATACATTAATCGAACAAAATATTCCATGAGCAGTCACAGACCTCTGGCAGGGCTGCACAGTGGGTCAGTTTGTACCAGCCCTGGTGATAACACAGCCACACTTACACGCGACCATGTCTGAGCAGGAGCTTTACTGATACCTAAAAGAGGGACAGGGTAGCCAGTCTTTTCCCTAGATGTGATGCACCTGGATCTCAGCCCTCTGGATAAGCTGGGAAACTCATATCAGGTATTTATAAAGAGGCATGAAGAATCCCCGTTTCTTTTCAGAGGGCCAAGAAATCTACTTGGACTTGTCATCTGCCTGGGTTTGTGCAAAGCATTTGACACTGTCCCTCGTGACATTCTTGTCTCTAAACTGGAGAGACGTGGATTTGATGGATGGACCTCTGAGTAGGTAAAAAAATGGGTGGAGGGTTGTCCTCCAACAGGTTGTGTTCAATGGCTCAATGTACAAGTCAAGAGCAGTGACGAGTGACGCTCCTCAGAGATTGCTATTGGGACCAGCACCACTAAACATGTTAAAATGTTAGATGTTAAAATGTATGAGATGTTTGTTTAACTGTTTCAGGTGTTTAACAACCTTGTCAGTGACATGGACAGCGGGATCAAGTGCACCCTCAGCAAGTTTGCTCACAACACCAAGCTGTGTGGTGAGGGTGACTGGAGAGACTGGAGGGAAGGGATGGCATCCAGAGGGACAGACATGAGAGGTGGGCTTGTGCAAACCTCATGAAAATCAGTAAGGCCAAGTGCAAGGTCCTACACCTGGGTTGGGGCAATCCCAAGTACGAGTACAGGCTGGGCAGATTCTATGAAATAGCAGAGTGTGAGTCCAGTTGCAGGTATTAGAGGAATTAATTTAAATCAGGACAGATTTCAGGAAGTTTTGATGGAAATTTTTTGTATTTTTAAAGTCCAAATCAATAAGTGGCTGACAGATTTCTGAAAATGAGCACATCTGTGTGCTGTGACAGGGGAAAAAAAAGAAAAACATACTCAATCTTTACCAGTACTTATGAAAGAATTATTTCCTAGTGCAGGTGGGTGCTCCATTTCATTGCATGAAATATAATTCATGGAATTTTGCCATTTGCACTCAGTAATTACTCTGAGACTATTGGTATTTGTATGAAATATGTTAAGAAATCTGTATTATTTTCTTTACCTCTAAAATATCTTGTCATTTAGACATTCATGCTAATAGCATGATGTGAATATTCAGAGTTTTGTTATCCTCTTATTTAGTTTTTCCTTTGTATCTTCACTCTATTTAGCAGTACTTACAGTACTCCAGATGTATCTCTCAGAATAGATATAGTGTTTAGCATAATTATACTTATCTATTATTATCAACATTAAAAAGCTAAAGTTTAATTTACTCCTTGTACCTTTACTTTCATCTCTTTTTCTGGAAACCATTAAAAAGAATGTCTAATTGCATCATAAAAACCTGGTTTTAAAAGTACTTTTACTTACTGTGGATTCTTAGCCTTGAAAGGAGCATTCTGGGGACTTTCAAAGGTTCTGGATCTTTAGACCTGAGGAATGAAGAACAGAGGCATTACCACACTGGAAGGTACCAAGTGTCTCCAGGTACTGTATTTCAGTGTATGGTGCAATAAGACAGAATATTCAGAGATATGGGGAATTATGAATACTTCCCTGAGGTTAACTTAAGGTTAAAAAATTTTAGAAATCTATCTTTTGAGGTAATTGTAGCAGCACAGATTGGCAGAGTGCAGCTTAGGCTGGCAGTGCCCTGAGGGTTGGGGGCTTCAGGGCGCCTCAGGGCAGTGCAAGCATTAAAAAGTGCCTAACACAAGTCAGATCATAGTACAGTGAGGAGACCTTCATGAAACCTGGATGACTGCTCACCTGCCATTTCTGTGGTCTCACCTGCATTCCCCCCTGCTGGTATCTCTACATTACTCTCGGTCTGCTTCCCCCATAGACTTTTCAATTTTACTTCTTTACCTCCAAAATAATCATTGTTGAATTTGTTGCTTTTAATCAAGTGCTGTGATTATCCCTGATTTACTCCATAACAACCATATTACCTGATGGAAAGGTAGTGTAAAAAGACCTGCAAAAAGTCAGAAAATAAATAAATTAACCTAAGGGAACACCTTCCCAGGATCAAACTACTGCAAATGTTTTCTTGTCTCCCTCTAGTTATTACCAGCTATTCTTTGTCTATAAAGTCATCTCATTCAAATACTTCACGTTGATGGCAGTGTTGCATGGTAGAAGACAAGTAGCAAAATGTCTTCCTTGCCTTGTGCTTTTTCTCTATAGTCATATGATGTGTTAAAACAAGCAATTCAGGAAAGCCTTAAGGCCCCCAGAGTCTGCTGAGCTTGTAAGGCAGAAAGCTTAGTCTGATTTTCGAGATAAACTAGAGTAATGGCAATTTTTTTTTATGGTAAGCAATGATTCTGATTGAAAATAATTTTAAAACTCGGGTAAAGATACAGAAAGATACAAATAGAAACTAAAAACATCAGAGTTCAGGGTGAAGATTTTAATTGGGTTTAGTTCTGGTGAGAGGTTATGCCAACATAAGAACTACCCCCTAAGGTGTGTGGGAAAATGAAGAAGAGCTGAGGATCAATGAGCATATCCCTTGCTTGGTGCCACCACTGCATCAGGCATGGGGACAGAATCCCAGCTGGGCATAACACAAACCAGGAAGCCTCCTGTGAGCCTGAACCTCTTCCACCCCTTCACTGAACTCGATAAAGTGGCCGAAAGGATGAGCAAATGTTTCCATGATGATACTTCCACCAATCCCCTTAAAAAGACACTCACTTGATATTGGTCTCCAAGGACAGAGATAACCCAGCAGTTGCAAAGCAAAGGTCTCAGACAAGTACTTGGCTGCTGGACTCAACACTTTACTGTCAGGATTCCCAGATGTTCTCACAGTGTGTCTGCAGCTTTTGCAATCTCAACCGCCAGACTTTTTTCCTCAAAGAAAAGGGGGAAAGGAACTGAAGGGATTAGGAATTCTGAAGAGGGGAAATATCAGAGCAGGAATATAAATACAAAAAGTGAATGGTGCCTTTGCTGACCTGAGAAACATTAAAAAAACCAGTACCACAGGTAATGCACATAAGCCAAATATTGCCTCATGGGATATAACAGATGGAAATACACTATTTTCAAAATTTCTGGGGGGGTGGAATCCAATCTTTGGGATAACCCAAACTAAGCCTTGTAAGGCTTATGCAGTACTCAGAGGTCCATTTTTCCAAGTTAGAGAGGATGATTTGGATATTTGACAACTTGGATCTCTGATCACTCACTGTTCATATGGACACAGACTGCTCATACAGATCATGAGTGGGCTTAATATCCCTTGAACCCAAAGTCTACTAAAAAAGGAAGGGAAAAAGTAGCTACAAGACTTTCAACTTCACAACAGTGAATTGGCCTATTAAGTGTTAATTCAGGGATACTTTAAGAAACATCTATAAATTTTTAGTAAATTTGAATCAAGATGTAATTTTTGTAGCTAAAAGCTCTCTCTAATCATAATTCTCATAAATATTCATGTGATCAGTGTTCTTTTATTTTTCTGCCCATTTAAGATTCTGATGTCTCTCCTGGGATCAACTACCTGCCAGGATGAATTCCATAAAAGAATTCTAAAAATACTGATAATGTATAGACATAGGATTGCTCAGATGACCTTATTCAGCACATGTCAATATTAGATGAGCAATATTTTTATGTTCACATTTTTACTAAGTCCAGAAATGCATATTTTAATAAATACCTGATGGAAAACATAACTTATTTCACAAACTCATTTATCATCTTCCATTATCCTGAAAGGTAATAAATATGAAAAATGAAGTTCCTATCAGATGGAGTAATGACAATTCTTAGACAACCATTTATTTAGTAACTTATATAGCTCTTTTTACACATTGCAGCATTTTTCCATGTAAAACAACAGTCAAACCCCTCTTTTTATTCCCAGATTTTCAATAAACAACTGTTCTTTCAATTCATTATCAACACCACATAACAGGCAAAAATGCTGAACCCATAATAGCAGGAATGATTCTGGTCTCATTATTTCTCCTTTTTTCATGACCTATTTTCTTCTCTCTCCCCTGACCATCCATAAGTCACTCCTGCTTTATATTACTCTTTTCCCAGGGAAAAAAAAAATATATTGAATTGGATTTTTAAAACATACATTTCAGACGAAAGAATCTTCTGACATAGACAATGCAGGCCAGAATTCAACCCTGCTTTTATGATTTTATAATATATAATAGGAGTACCTGACCTATGAGTAGCACTGGTGGCAGGGTAAAGTCAGCACAAGATTGTTCCCCAACCCCTCTGATGCTACTCACTAAATTGGACAGTGTGAGAAAGTGGTTTCCTTACACAGCTTCCTTAAGTTGCTGGTTTGGAGATGGCAGCATTGGGCTGACTGAATGAAACTGTAGTTTCCAGGACTCATTGCTTGGGGCTATTTTCCTGCATTGTGGTACTGGAATATATCCTATACCATGAGAATAATTTTACCTTATCAAAGTCAATCTGTAGCTCATTTTTATCTCTTCACTAGCTATATATAAATAATTGGTCCTGGCAGTGCTTCAAAAAAAAAAAAAACATTTAATATCTTGGTCCATATGACAATAAAATCCAGATGAATACCAGCTACTTCTCAACACCTTTACTCTTAGAGAAAGAAGAGGAACAGAATGGATGTCCAGCATGCTGCAGCCAGCTCTGAATGATCAGCAGACCTGAATGATCACCAGGACCCCAGAGTATGCCATGCAGCACTCTCGAGCCTCAGTAGAGATCCACATCCAACCTGGTATTGTTCATCAGACTGATGGCAGCTCTGGCACTGAGAGTGATGTTTCTGAACTTCTACTCTTCCTGTCACCTACAGAGAGTCAGTGGCAAAAATATGCACACATCCTTAGAATCTTTCTAATGCAAAACTCACACGGACTTATCTATTTTAGGGGATCATTATTATGTTTTCTTTGTCTTATAAATTTTCATGTCATTTTTTTTTCAAGTTAACACACGTATTCACTAGAAAATAAACTAAGAGGAGAAAAAGTGTTGTATTACAGACTACTATCAAGAGAGTTCTAGCATACAAGTTCTACTTTAAACCAAAAAAAAAAGTTTACATAGAAATATCTTTCATTGTAAGAAACCTTGCATGATGTACATCAAAATGAAAAAGGGTAAAAAGCTAGTTGTAACTCTAATATCATTCTCTCCTGTAAAGACAGAAGGAGTTTAGGGAGGTTCTCTTTTGATGAACTTTTTGATTTCTTTATTGCTTTAATACAATCTGAACTCTACAGTCTTTAATGAAGAAAAAGCACTAATTTATAATTTGAAGCAAAAACATTAATAAAAGGTATTAGGGATCTTCTAATATTTTCTGAGGACTCATAGGCATGTTATGGTAGGACTACATAAACCAGACTTCCAGTATGGTATTATTCAGATGAAAAGATTACATATTAATTCTCAAAACACTTCATAGGTGAAGTTTTGTAGAAAGAAAAATATGATTAAGAGATTTGTTATCTGTATACTGCATTTCCTGAAAGGCTATAGAGTGATATTTTTTTTCCTCCCATCATAAGAAATCATTAATATAAAATAGTTTTTTTAAAAAACACATAATTCAATTAGAAATCACTCTAAGTTGTTGTGTTCTCTGTTTTTAATCAAGGGGCACCAGTGCAATAAAGGCAAATTACTGATTTCTGAGACTGAATTATCAAGAATCAAACTGAGGAGACTTTCCTTCTACAGAAGTAATATTAATTGTTGGCAATTATGGCAGAATTATAGGTTCAATTTTTTTTATATAAAACCTTATTGAATTAATTGAACCATGTGCACTGTGTCATAATGGGAATCATCAATAAACTCTTAGGGAATATTTATTTCATTTCTGCACTGAAGGTTGTTGTAAGAGCTCATGTCATTCAGTTTAGGCACAGCTGCACAGTATTTGGTTGTTTTGCCTGGCTTTGTTACTCTTATGCCAGGGGAAAGAGACCATTATTCACTAACATTTTATAGACTGTTTGTACTTCAAATATTCTATGTCAAAATTAATTTAGTAAGCTAAGTTCAAAGGAAGAAGAAGGTTAGTTCATCCTAGGAACTGAGGTTAACACTTAGGAACCTCAGAAGGCTGTATAGGGCTGGTGACAATTGACAGAGGATTCTCAGAACCACTACAATCATCTTACCAGCCCAGACCCCAAAAGAACTGCAGTTCACTCTTCCTCCTTCCTCCAAACCCTGGCAGGAGCCTCAATCTAAGGGCTCAAGTAGGTCTGGCAACTCAGACTGGCAGGTTTCTTTATGGTTTTAGACATCTGAAGAGTTTTTGGCAGCTGTGGGCAGCAGCACGGCGTTCTGCCCTGGCAGGAAACAGCCAACCAGGCAGGTACTGGCACCTGTGATCCCACCATGTCTACCCCTGCCAGTGGACATCAGTCTCACCAAAGCAGCAATGTGTCTGTACAGCTAATTGGATCCAAGAAGGTCAGCTTAATTCCTTCTTTTTTCCCCCTCAATTTTTAGCTCAACAACAAAAGATAAAAGTGTTTCACCTTAGTCTCACGTTCACACGTGCTTGTCACCCAAGCTCTGACAATCTCATCTTCCTTCTTCCAGATATCTTCTTCGATGCTTTTCTCTTTCTGCTGATCCCATCCTCTGCAAGCCTACTGAAGGGATTAAATGATGGATTAAATAACAGTGGAACAAAGGCAATGTTTTCACACCATTACTCTTCTTGTTACATGTTCTCTCTCTTTCCCTATTGCCCTTTGACACAAACCAAGGCAGTCAAGTGAACATGACCTTTGGAGTACTGAACATGACTTTTGGAGTGTCACCAACACAATACCAAAAAAGCCCCACGAATGAGGCCCTCCTGTATGTCAGGTTCTTGCTGTAGCACTAGAGACAGGGAACAACAACATTCATTAGTTTATTAATTTTTCTGCATCGAGATAAAACACTCCTACACATATCAACAGAGCAGCACAATTGGCCTCTTGTCCTACAGGCTCCCTCTGTGCACATACCAATAGATAACATAGCCATGTGTCAGTGTGCACTCACTTCTACTGTGATCTTTCTATGTATTGCTTGACACTTTGAAAGTGCTCCCTCCAGTAAAGACTCCCAAAAGCTTGAGCAGGGCAACTTAACTTGGTCTAGCTTCACAGATTCTTGCAATTCTGATTTGATTTACTCTGCAAACACAAAGGAAATAAAATGACAGAAGATGATTCCACAGCTTATTTTTACCTGTGTCACAATTTTAACACAGGAAGAACTGACAGAAGTGGTTTTTAGCTTGACCTGTCCCAAGTTTAGCTCATCTGGGCTCACTCCAGTAGTTGGATAGGAGTAAGTGTGCTGACTAATGGGGAGTAAGCCTATTGTAATCCTTTTTAAACATCTCTGACTGAGCCATTTGATCCTACTGCTTCCCTGGAAAAGGCATGATGCCGTAGTAACAGTTCAAACCAGGTTGCTTTGGGGAAAACACTGTAACTTACCAGAATTGAAGGCAGTTTTGGCATCAAATACAACAGATTTAGTAAGTGTGACGTGCAAATAGCTGTGAAAGAGCTGAGGCTGTCGAAATGAATGTTCACAGTAACAATAAAAATCAGTTCAAGCCATTTTGTATAGAAACCTATGACACTCAGAAATTCTTTCAAAAGGACAGGGCAGTGAATTTGATCCTTGACCATATCCTAGGGAAACACTGTGCTTATTGGTGGCTGACACATTCAACTGTGTCCATCATAGCATTGATTCCAGAGCATCACGTGTAACATCTGGTCAATCTTTTTAGGAGCAGTACATCCGAATTTGCTACAGATAATGTAACTAAAACAAAAATAATCTGATGATTTCCTGCAGGAATAGCAAAGCAAAAGTTTTTCTTCGTAAGCAGACAGATCAAATTGCTGGGTTAAAAATTATTTCAACTCTATTCATTTATTCTGTTGGCCAACCTCTTCCTCCCCATCCAGCCAAGGACTCATTCCAAGCTCTGGATAAATCGTTGGCAGCCATTTTCATGACATGGTTGGCTTGAAAAGGCACGGGAGGAATTCCAGCACTGAGAATTCAGCTGCAGGTGGAGGAGCACAATCTGGCATATGCAATGGTTGTCATCTCCACCCACTGGCATTTGCAATCTATTTTTCTGGCTCACAAAAAGTTGTGTGATCATAAGCACTTAGTGTAACACTCAATTACTGCTTACAAGCAGCTCCATCACTGCATGCACAGCAATATGACTGAAGCTGTTGGCCTGTCTTTGAAGCAAATCCTTAGGAGTGGCAAGCCCTTAATCAATTCATACTTTTTTCTGTTGGTGTCAGCATTCTTCTGGAGAAAGAAAAAGGTGCTTCAATTCCATCTCTTAATGAACAGCTGAGAATCTCTCCAAAACCACAAAAAGGTGCATAGCTCATAATCAGCAACAGCCTCTTTTCATTGTAATGGGTGAATGTGGAGTTGGACAGTAGTTGCTTGATATTTTTGAATGTCTCTGTATGGTGGTAAGACTTCTCTAAGGATCTTCCTTGCTAACAGTCAGTAAGGCATTTTATTGATTTCTGACTTTTATAAAATAAAGTTGTTATCGCAGTGATTAGAGCAATAGAGGGGAAGATTCCCTTTCCTCAACCTGCTTCCACTCTCACCAATACAACCCAGTATTTGTTTAACCTTCTTTTTTTGCAAGAGCACACTGCTGATTCCTGTTCAGTTTGTTGTCCACTAGGACCCACAGGTCTCTTTTTTTTTTTTCCAAAGCTGCATTGTCCTCCAACCTGTAGAGCTGCATGGAGTTTTTCTATCTAGATGAACTCAACATCTTTAAATCCATATAACCCTTGTTTCTCGTGTCCTTCAGCGTGATGTTAAGCTCCTAATGTTGTGGTATGTTGGCAGATGAAGATCATATTACAGTTTTCAAAGGCAGCATTCATAGTTCTTCAGCCTGAGTCATCTTAATACATATTCAGGCTGATTCAGTGGTTAGGTCCTTTTTGCTGCAAACATAAACATCAGAGAATTGATTTAGCAAAGAGATGACACTGAAATGCTTTGTCTTGATCTTAGCCTCAAAGCACTTCAGTTAAAATGCTTAGCAACAAAGCACATCTCAGCAATAAAGGGAATGACGTTCCCTAATTTTCATTTGAGAAACTGGAATCTCTGAACAATGAAAAATGGTGTAGGCAATAAAGGAGCCTTCAGCAAGATTATGATTTTGCTCTTAAGCACAGCAGGCCCACAGTGGCAGTATAATGGTAAATATATTGGCTTAACAGTTATTTTTTGTAGGGGATTGCCTGTCTTGTTAGCTCCAAGATAACACAATGTCCTCGTGATTAAGATTCCCACAACACTGTCTGACTTAAGGCACACTCCTCAGCATGTTCCCATCAATGCTATATCAAGTTCTAGGTGAACTGCCACTCAGATCCCTCACAAAGGCTTTCTCCCAGAAACCTCTCAGCTGTATTGAGGGTGGGGACTTATGTCTAGAGCTCATCCACACACTTCTCATGACCTGGAAAGTGGGTATTGAGTGTGTGCAGCAAAGGAGCCTGTCTTACCGTCAGCAGTGTGATCAATGGCACAGAGACAGGGTCCTCCTGGAACACCACGGCTGCTGCTGCCCTGCAAACAGAGAGTGGGAGGACCTGGGTCTGCTCTGCACCTTGGGGGCACAGGGCTGCCTCCCCAGCAAGCCCACCTGGCACACAGGCAGCCTCCTGCGCCCCCTGAAGGCTCTCCAAGCCTTTGGCTCCTCTTTATTGAGGCAACAAACTAGCTCTGTCCTTCTCACAGGAACAGCAGTACTTCTGTTTCATGCCTATCTCTTTGCAGTGAGAGCCAACACAAATAACTGATTGTTCTGCAAAGCAGAAAATGTTTGCAGAAGGGTGAAAGGCTCAAAACTTGGTGGCATTGGGTTTGTAGCTACTCACCAAGGAAGCCCGGAAAACCAGCTGATGAAGGAGTTGGTGGCACATTTAGGGCCATAAAGCCTAGAAAGACACTTAGTATAAGAAGATGTAAATCAGCTTTCCTATTGAAGGTTTGTCAAAATGGTAGACCACAGTGAGGAAATAACTTGCCAGATTGCTTCCCACCATCTCTAGTAGGATTGTAGGAAATCATCTGTGGGGCCTTGTCCTTGATTAGTCCCTAAATGTTAATGTAATAGCAACAGCAGAAGGTTTTACTGTAGAAAAAGAAATTCTTGGGCTTACCTCTAGACAAATAGAAATACCTCAGAGTTTTTGTTTATTTTTTTTCTTGAATTTTAGAGGATTAAGAAGGGTTGTTTTCATGTCATTTTGGAAATAGCAGATCTTATCTGATCTTATCTGGACTGCTGGCAATTGACCATAATACTTGTTGTGCTTAATGTGTAACCTAAGAACTTAGAAAGGGACATACGTGTTTGGAAACTAATGCTAACCTATTAGTGAGGTAAAATTGAGTTAAAAGTGAATAATTTTTAAGTCTTACTAGCACCTCAGTCCTTTAAAAGTCTTTCCAATTAAAAGAACTTCAATTGCAGTATGAAATAAAATGCAAGGGAATTTGCTTCTACAACGAGAAAAGTAATTTTTAACTTTCGAAAGAAAATACCAATATCAAATAGAAATTATGCAGCAAAGAAATTATGTCATCTCTTGTGGGAAGAGAAATCCAAGAGAAGACCTTTGGTATAATTATGAACAATGATTAAAATATGTCAAAGAAATGGAACATGAGAGATATCACAGTGCTTTTTGCTGCTATGCACCCTGCTCTGACACAAAAGTGCCACATAAAAATTGCAAGAACTAATTCCTTACTGCTAAAGAGTTACCATCTTTATAGCAACCAAAATTTTATTTCGCCTGATTGCCATGGACTATGACCTTGGTTCTTTCATTCCAATCTCTTATGCCTCTCTGCATTAGTGATAATCATCTCCTCTCCCATGAAAAATGGACCCTATCTTCTCAGGATCACAAAACAGAGGGCAAGGGATAGGTAGGAGTCAGAGGACAAAGCAAACCCCATGCTCTTTGCCCCAGGCTGGGTCATATATTTTTTGATTCCTTGTGATTTATACTGCTCAAATACCTCATCAATATATAAGAAATAAAAACAAGAGAGGAGTTACAATAGGCCGAAACCAGAACTCCAAGTACAAATTCCTGCAGATTATTCAGACTCCAACCCCTGAATCATAAACCAGATTCATGGGTTTGGCCCCAGCCCCTGTGCAAACAATGCAGAGGCCCCTCTTCCAGTGAGGTTCAGCTGTTGCCAAAATCTTGAAGGAACAGTCTGTCACTTTTCTGAGACCAAGATGAGTGATGAAACTTTCACAAGGGAGCAGCTGACCCACATTGCTCAAGAGGAGCACTGTCCCAGAAGATGAGCATAAGAACAGGACTCCATTTAAGATGAGAAATTTCATCAAGACATTTGCCAAGTGCTTTGACTCACACAAATCAGAATCTGTCCCTGGCCCTGACTTGGCCATCAAACCCACATTTTGACATATGTCTAATTCAGACCTCAGTGCTGCCCACTGGGTCTACCTTTACACAACACATTCATCGTTTCTGGTGAAACTATGGGAATATAAACTGCGTTATTTCTTTCCCTTGTACATAAGGTAACAAAAGAGGAGGATAGGAAGAAGAGTTGGAAATGTTTTCTGGCTATAAATAGAATTCCTTAATTGCTTAGCCTGCTTCAATTAGTCCATTGCACAATTACAGTTGTCAGTTCTTCACTCCAAAGAATCCTTCTGAACTGCTAATCCAGAACTATGATTTAAACAACGCAGCATTAAGAATTTCCGTGTGCAGCAAAACACAGTCAATTATAATCAACACTGGCAAATTCTAATTTGACATTAGACATAATTAACTACATGAGAAATTACCCCTATAATAATATTCGACAGGAAGAATGGCAACTTCAGTAACTCATGCTCACTGTTAGGTGTAGTCACAAAGTTCCTGTTGGCTCAGTGATTAAGTACCTTACACAGAGGCCAAAGGCCCAGCACCCAGATCACAGAGGCCTGGGATTTTTGGGTAGGCCAGGTATCTGTGGTACTTAGTTTCTGGAAGTGAAAGACTTCTTCTGTCATCTCCCACTGCCATAGAGTATAAGAGGTTCCAGAAGCAGGAGCTGAATCCTAGGAGCAGACTGAAAAGAGCTTGTGGCACAAAATAGACCTTTCATTCTGGACTCCTAAGCATCTGATACAGGAGAGAAAGATTAATTCAAGTGTGCTCTTGAAGTTTTGGCAGTCTTTCAGCTTAACATCAGGAATTGAATTTTCTCTTCAGTTTTGAAAATTCTTGTCCAATTTTACGGCCATCTTCTGTCTTGCTTTACTTCTGACAGAACAGTTTAATCTTGGGTCTCTCTGCCTGAGGATATGGTCACTCAAAGGTATCCTGTTAGAGCAGCTTAATGAATGACAGCTTCTCAGCCTAGTCTGGTAAACCTTGAAATGGATTTTGTGGAGCAAATAGTCTCTTCTGTATCCAGGTCTTCTCTCTGTTGCAATCTTAGCTATCCTTGCTATACCAACGTGGCTCAGAGGTCTTATTTTATTTGAAAAATGTAACTTGAAATAGGAACTGTTCTATCAGGTTGCTAAGCTTTGAAAACCTAGTGAACCCGAATCAAAGCTAATGGATATTTTTGCAGTTTTTGGGTTAGTCTGGGCAAAACCAGAACAAAATGAAGAATTACATTAGACCAGGCAACAAAGAGGGAAGGAGAAGGGATGCAAGTGGCAGTACTGAAACCTGATATGCCAAATTTCGCAATCATGATTGTTTCAAAGAGTTGAGTGACAATCAGTCCCATGTGGGAAGTCTGGTGATGGTGACTCTCAGTGACACAGAGAAAACATTGTGACATAAAATACACTGTAGTTCTTGGCATCCTCCACTTTTGTATAGCATTGGTAATAGTATTTCCTCACACTTGTATTCTGTAGCTTGAAAAAACATTATCAGAAACCTTCAGGATGAAATCCTGGCCCCAAAAGTTTAGCCATTCCGCTTAAGAGAGCCAGAGTTCATATTTATAATCTTCTCATTTTCTGTTATCGTGCATTCTTTTGCAAACTTTCCTTTTTCCATTTAGAAAGTGCTCTTAGGATAACAAAGCAAACATCCAGTGGATATAGAAACCTGACAAGGAGCAAGCCTCTTGCTCTAAAAGCAATCCAGACCACTAAATTTTTCATTAATTAGTATTTCTCAGAAAGTTACTGATTAGCCGCCCAGCTGTTTCCAAAACTTTAGTCTGAAACAGCCCAATAACTACAAAAACAAGTTTTCACATTTTTAAAAGCTAATGGCTCACAGCTTTTAGCTTTTGCATAGGCCAAGATGACCAGAAATAAAGTGGACCAAAAAATGAGCAAGGAAAGCAAAGACAAGTTGCACAAGGAACCACTTCAGAAACCACAAATGAGAAAAATAAAGTAAAAATTAAACCCCTGTAAAACTGTGCCCATCACTTCTTGATGAAGGACTGGTTTTTACTGGCAGTACTAATTCTTCTAAGGTTAAAATACTGGTAGATAGTACCATACATATACATGCTTATGATATCTTCAGCGTTGCTCCTGGAGATAAATATAATCTATGATCCAAAAAGCATTTTGGACTGAGGATAATTCACTGGTAAGCAAACGTGCATTCTGTAAGAACAAATGTAGCAAAACAAAACAGTGACAGAAGCTGTAAAAAGAACATGTGACATCATATTACCCCTATAAAATGAAGTCTCTGTGTTAATTTTACTCACAATACTATTATTTGACATCAGGACTGAGGAAAAAATGCATCACGAACCTACTCTTTTTTGGTCCACACATAAGGTCTATTTTTCTGACCTTGCCTTCATTAATAAATACACAGCAACATGCATATTTAAAATAACAAATTAACAGGACACTTCACTGCACACACTTACATCCCTGGGGAGAAGATGAGAGTACAAACGACATGTGACAGATGTTAATCACATAGCTTAATGCACTATTGGAAGTGGGTCAGCAATAGCAATGAAGAGCACCCCATTGGAACAATAAAAGGATGGAATAGAAATAGAATAAATTATAAACACCTATAATCCAACTGAAATGTGAATAATGAATTTGGTTTTTTTTCTGTTATATGAGAAAGTTAGTTTTGAACATGAGTTTTTGGTGGAAGGTATCCTCTCTTATCTTAACAGCTGGTGTCAAAATAAATATTTAACTTTGCAGATGACAATTAACTAGACCTATTACACATGGAGGTGTGGTTAAAATCAATTGGAGAGGGAAAGCAAATAAGAGATTAATTGATCTTCTTAATTGCATTTTTCAAACAAATGGTCATTTTCATAAAGATATAGACCAAAGCCAGGCAGTATCTTTTCACAGGATAAGGAAGACCTTAACAAAGACACATCTAACTTTTTGTGATGACAATTTACATTTAGTTTGCCTCTCATTGAATCAGAATTCGAGGCAGGAGTTCATTCTTTCTCACTACAAAAAGCCTCATAAGCAACACTAAAACCCTTTGCTGAGGTATCAGCAACAGCGGATGGTAGGGAAGATTAGAAAGATGATATTTTTATGTCAAGTAATTTTGGTCAAAGTAGAATTCTAGGCAGCACATTTTATGCTTGCTAATCTCATGTCCACCATGGTAGCTACATCTTTTCAGATAACTATGACTTTTGCTCCATCGATTCACTCAAATTTTAATTTCAGTTAGCAGTCTTGTTTTATGAACACATTTTGTGCTGCCTTTTTGCACTGAAGATAAAGTTCAAGATGCCTGTAAAGGAATGGATTATATATTTTCTTCTATCTATTTGCATTGCCTCTTAAATATGAGTTCACTGAGCAAGAACTGCTTCTATGTATTAAACTAATGCCTAGAATAACATGACTATGGTTTTGACTGGGGCCTCAGACAATTGTAACAGAAATAAGAAACAACCATAATAAGTACTTTGGAAGAGCCCTCCTTTTTGTAATCGGTCCTAAAGGGAAAGGACTGTGCAATTAGAAAGACATTTTATCCTACAATTCTGTAGAATGGAAAAAAAAAATGTAATATTGACACATACATTGGCCTCCTAAACCAATTTTGATGACTGCAATTTTTCACGGTGTGCAGCAATAACATTGCAAGATAGAGTTAAATAAACTCATATGAAATTTGACAAAAAAAATAAATTACTGTAGTTCCAAAGTTCTTTAAACAAATAGTTAAAAAAAACTTAAATCAAAATAACCAGGCATAACTGCAATATGACAGTAAAAAAAATGCAATCTAAACATCTCAATTCAATAATAAATTACAAAAAGGTAAGCGCATAACTCAGGAAATTAGGACTGCATTTCTTCATTTTAGAAATTCTTTTATTTGCACTATCAATCAACTGGAGACTTAAAAATAAATGATTCTTCCATTGTATAGTGTGTCCTTAATTTGTATACATACAAACCTCTGTGACTTAAGGACAAGATAAAGAACGCAGATGATAGTAGAGCTTATGCTACTGCTGATTCCTTTTTTAGTGAAAAAGTACAACCATTTGCAATCACATGCCTAAATCCTTTTTCCCACAGTAATTTCTGCAGCAATAGGCCGTGTGCTTTTGTTTTTCTCCATACACATAAAGTACAGTAATTTAGGAACAGCCTGACACTCACATTGAAAACATCAGTAACACAAAATTGAGAGGATCAATGCTCCACAGAATAATATAAGGCCAAGGGACCTATGGAGGCCATCTGGCCCAACATTCTGCTCAAAACACAGTTGATGTCACTGTTTAAACTGCTCCAGTTTCTCACTGTCTCTTTTACGAGGGTGGGTTCTAAGTAGGACATAGTGCCTTAGACATAGGTGCACAAGATCCAAGTTGAGGGTTGTGAGTACTTCCCAACGTAATATCCAAGCAATTTTCTTAAGAAGACTTTTAATCTGAAGACATTTACACTGTGGCTTAGTTTTGCACAAGGTTAAAATGCATTTAAAGCAGGGCCGTCCACAAGCGTCGATTCAGCCTTGCCTGGAAATACTTTCAAAATATGTCCATCAGGACATCTGGGCACAGCTCCCTGTCTTCCCACAGGAGAAGGTCTCCAAAGGGAGAGAGACAACTCGGGGATTTTATCAGAGAATTGTTTGCACAATTCAACCTTTCTAGTCTATGTGGTGCAATGCTGCAAAGGACGTGCAGGTCTCAGATGTTGTGGAAGGCAGACCAGGCACTCACTGATCGGAGGAGATGAAGAACCAAAAAAAGCAGGCGCCCTCCCACAGGCACTTCGGGGCAGCAGCTGCTTCCCTCTGACATATTGGAATTGCCAGCTCTCCAAAAGCAGGGAATATGGTAAGCAATGAACAGGAAACAGCACTGCTTGTGTTGGCTAAGTGGCAAGTGAGCCTGTGTTTTGCTGGAATGGGCTTGCAAGATTAAGCAATGAAAGAAGGCCGGGGGGGTGGGGTGTGGAAGGGAAAAAAAGTACTGGTTCATCTTGTAAAACTACCAATTGTTTCAGACAACCTTTTACTACCAGGGCAGCTGCTGGTCTTCCCCAGTGTAAACATGGTGAGGCTGATTTCAGTTTTAAGCCTGAACAGAGCTAAATGTGGTGGGATCTCCCACACAGGCTACCACGGGGACACCAAAGGGGCTGTGCCATAAAGGCACTTGCTCTGCTAGAAGAGCTCCTGCAGGAGGGTGACCTATCAAAAAAAGCCCCAGTTTGTTTGTTATACATCTCTTAAGTATCAAAATAAATCATTTAAGGATGCCTTGTACATTCAGTGCTTTATGTTTCATGGTTTAGAATCATAACCACTTTGAATAAATGCATTATAACAGATAGGGAAAATGAAGAAAATTCCATTTTGAAACTGAGTCCCTGAGCTCTCCTGCCATGATACAGTTAAGTATTCACTACATAGCTGTTTATATCATTTAAATCTTTGGTGTATTTTATTTTGTATCAAAGTTTTGGAGTAGATTGAAACTACTCATATTAGTCTTGGTAACTCTTGAGAAAAATGGCAAAACAAAATGTGCTGGAATTCAAGAGGGATTATAAATACACAGAGGGATAAGATAGGAACTAGCTTAAGCTTTAACTATCATATGTCGAAAGTTATTTTCTAGTGGGTTTGAAGTATGCTACTTCTTCATGTTTTTTAGTCCAGGATCGAGATTAGGAAAATGTTAGAGCACAGAAACAGCTCAGGTTGTTTAATTGTAGTACTCTACAGGGTCTATAAAGGGAGAGAATGCATCCACTAGCAAAAAGCCTGAATCCAAAACCTCAGATGCTAACAGGCCCAATTCTGGAGGGCAGGTATGAAATTTAAAACAAAAATTTTTATCCAAGCATAGCACTGACACTGTGAACTTCAAGGAGAAGGATTTTGAATGTTTCGGGTGCCAAGTCCCTCGTCTGCCAGTATCAGTGGATGCAAGCAGTCAAGTGCCAATCTTAGAAGTGGTGGGTTATTAAATTATTATAGTTCAAAACTTCAAATTTTATTTCTCTCTCTTGAGGTTGTGTCAGGAGGTGCTTAGGATGTTTGGGCTGGCACTCACTTTTTCTGCTTGTATTCACACACCTGTGTGAATACTAGACAGAACACAGCTCCATGCAAACTTTCCTAAATAAAACCCCCTGAAAAGATTGGGTCCAACACTTTGAGTTAGTGTTGTGAGAGAGGCTGAACCATGTCTGTCCTGCAATAAAGCACATTCTCATTACTTTAAAAGGGTAACCTCATAAATCGCCTTCTTTAAAAAGACATCCAAAAGAAAACCCCTGTGGGAGACTAATTGTGATTATAAACACACTAGATGAGCAATTTGGGAGAAGGAGATCTAACAGAGAGAGAAACATTCCAAGAGATGGTAATAGCCTCAATTCCCACCTAAACTAATTGCAAAAAAAGAACTGTCCAAGAAGAAATAACTTCGATTGCTATTTCACTCAGTGCTAGAGAAGCAATTTAGGGTGAAATCATGTGGTTCCAGAAGACAAGGAATATTCTTACTGATTCAAATATTTCAGTTTATAAAGATATGATCCTCTGTCTTTTTGATTCTGGCATTATGAGTGGTGTCAGTAGAGCTCTTCAGTAAGTGGTTCCTGTCAACAGTCTCAAGCAGTTCAAGAAAAAATGCTCAGAAATAACATTAGAGGTTGGAGAGAGAATCATGACTGTGAGATGTCAACATGGAAATAAGCTAGAAAACAACCTCAAAACAGCATGTCTGAGGTGACAGCAGGGGATTTATTCATAGGTCTTGACTCTCTGTTTGCAACAAGAAATCGTGGTGGGAGGGAATTGATAAAGTAGGGAGCAAACTGAGCTGGGAATCGTGAACTTGGTTGTAAAAACATATAGTGGTTATGCTTGAGCAAATTGAAATCTCTTCTGTTCTCAAAACAGCAAAACTTGTGGAAACAGTGAAAATATGTTATTATTGAATTTGTCAATTCATAAGAACCCATGTGAACCAGTTACTCATTTTACATATCAACAGGCAATAATTCTACCACATCTCAAGCATTTCCTTTTTGCCTCCAAGTATCATGCAAATTTACCTATTACCTAATAATGAACACCCTCTGAGTTATCTTTGTTAGGTGCTGTGAGCAATTCTCCAACCATTCTCTGATCATAGTCTTTCTTATTATATATGAAAATACTTGTTCTTAAGAATTATTGCCAATTCCCCCTCAAAAAAGAAAAGATAAAGAGAATTGTCTGCAGCTCAGGTAGATAAAACTGCTTTTGCTTTAAACAAACTATTTCCAGTGTTGAAAGTGTAAATGCTTAGTAGAAAAGAGTCATCAGTAGTGCCCATACATTAATGGTTATCCAGAGTTTCCAAAAGGAGGAACCATTAAATAAAAATAATACACTTTATAAATATGCTTTCAAGTTAAAAGAAAAAAAATATCAAATACATGGCTGGAGTACTATGACATTGATGAATGCAATACAAACTTACCTAGACAGTCTAAATGAAGGCACTAGTCCAGGTTTACAAAAGCATCTGAGTTGGCCATCTAACAGGATTTTGGAAAGAAAGATGTAAGCACAGGAATTCTCCACCATTCTGTCTGCTTGCCTAACATTAAATAAACAAGAGATCACCTGTATTCTGAGGTTGTCTAGTTTCCAGTGCCATACAATGAAACTTCCATAAGTTTTCTTCATAAATCAAAACAGAATGGAAACACAGAGAAGCATTTAGGGAAAACAGACAATTGTATCCCATCAGACTTAGGATTGGTACCAACCCTGCAATCTTGATCTGTTTTCTCCAAAAAGATAATTATTTTTTCTCTTTCCTCCACTGTATGTTCGGAGGACAAAAGCTCCTCTACAGAATCCAAAGCAAATCACAATATATCACTTAATAGCTGTAAAATCTGCTTAGGAGTCCAAATTCTCATAACCTCTCTTATGTGACAACACCCAGTGGTTCTGTAGGACTGCTAATGTAACTGCAAACTGAACATGCTCTGAAGCCACAGCATCCTTTCAGTTCTACGTAAGATTATTTCTTGAGCAGTTTTCTGTACCTGTAGGTATTCTTTACTTACTCCCATTGTGTGTTAATTCATGCAAAGCCCTTAGTTCAAGTCACTGAGTCAAATTCTGCAGGGGAAATTAAAGGCTCCCAGCACTAGTCTGCAAAGATACACAGTATACTCACAAAAGAAGCCATTCAAAAGAGGATCTCAAGTTTGCATGGCCTTATCTCCATCTAACTCCCCATATGTTCTTTCCAGGAAGGAAACAGTAATGCCATGCCCTGAAACGACACAGTGGTGAAACATCTGTAAGTTCCGGAAAATCCTGAAAAGAGCATTCCCTGACGAAGGATGTGTGGAACCAGTTGGAGAGCATGGACTCGCCTGTGATACCTTGAAATTCTTCTGGAATCCTGACCTGCAGAGTAAAGTCCTTCTTGAGTTTCCATATCTGAGTCCAACTTTTGCTCAGCTGGAAATTAGCCTCATTTTACTGTTTTCCAAAAGGTGTTGGATCCAGACCTGGGCTTTTCGAAGAGCAGAAGAGCTACTACTGGAACATATAGAAGGCTTATCAGAGAAAATAATGCTTAATTTGGCTTTACACTTTTAATTAACTCAATAAGGAAAAATTATACTATGCCAGTTGAAACTGTACTGTTTGGCCAACGCTGCTGCTGACCTTTTATCTTTTCTTCTGTGGGGACTGACCATCTCCATGGAGAAACTGTATGACAGAGATAAGAATCATATAGCTAAAAGGCAAATGTCTAGACTTTGGACCCAACTTGTTTTATTTTAATATAGTTATTGCACAATTGCTTGCAAGTATCTTTTCAGTTCTCACAGCTCAAAGATTTATATCAGCCTAGTTAGCTAACATTCACAAGATACATAATGTTCATAAAAACTGATAATGATAAGAATAAAAAAAATTCTGGGAGGCAAAGATGATTTTGCAGACACTATCTGATACTACTGATTAATATCTCTGTGTTGATACACTAATATTCAAGAAATATGCAAATTTTGCACAATCAGGAAATGCCAGGTTTATTTTTAAAGCAATAATAGCTTCTAAGGGGAGCCAAAGCTCTTATGTCTCACAACTCTCAAGTGAGCTCAATTACATGAATCCCAAGTGGAGAGCAGTATAGTCTAGTGATGCTGAGCACAGTGTACTTCCTCTCCTTTTCAGATACAAGATATTTGCTGCCCTTTATCCTCTCTACCTGCTGATACGAAAAGCCCTGGTTGTTTTTCTTTTCATGAAGTACTGACTCTGCCTTTGGATGCTAGACATGGAGTCTGTGCACCTTGGACTCTCTTGGAAGAGTTGAATATCTGAGGCTTTTTGAGCAAATCCCTCTGTGGATTTGTGTCTAACAAACTGTTCTGAAGATAAGACTGCAAATAAACAACTTGAATCTTTTGGCACCAGCAATGGCAATGTCTGTTTAATATGGTCTTTTGAAGACAAGAGAGTTTCTCCATGTTGGGCTTTGGATCAAATTCTGTAACTATTATATGTAAAATAAAACCATTAAATCTGTCATTTTAGACTAATCTAAGAAGATTCCAGCTTTCACCTATGTCCATTTATGATGCAATTTATCAAGGTGAAAGCCATCAAGGGTGAAATTAATTTTAGGAGAAGTCTAATAAAGTTACAACCACATGTTTAGCCAAGCTCAGATGGCCTAATGGCAATAACATAAAACAAAAATGTTCTGTGACTGAAGAGCTCTGCCATAATTTGAAGAACACCACCAGAGTGGGGAAATCCGAGATGCAGCTCCCACAGCTGCAGGAACTCAGTTATATTACACACGTGACAGGGGAGCACAACTCCCACTGAATCCAACTGTGCTACATTTTCCATCTCTGTCTGTGACAGGTCAGATTCTCAACGGATATAAATCAACCAGTTCCACTAAAGTCAGTGACAAGCTGGACTGATTTACGCCAGCTGAATGCTTGGTCTGACCTCTTTCCTATCCTGCAGTAATTGCATGACCAACTTGTGATGGCTCTTGGAAACCCATTGCCTCTGTACCTTCAGCTTCTGGGCACACTGCAGTCATGGGCTCACACTGCTCCTCTGCCCGTGGTGGTAATGGGGCAACATGTCTTCTTGAAGGGGAAATAGAGGTAATTTGTGGCCCAGGTGTCTCTCAGACCCAGGAGCAGTGGCAGTGGTAGAGGCCATGTTATGGGTCTCTTTAAATCTGAAGAAATAAACAGGACTAGAAATCCTCTACCTGATACTCCCAGACTTAGGGGACTAACTCCTGGCTGTATATCCAGTCTGTAAGTCCTGCCTACATTCCTACTGTCGCTTTGTAAAGGAAAATAAAGATAACCCAGACCTGTTCGTTTCTAGTGTGGTAAACTTGATAGGATATGAGCTCCTCATCAAAGACACTAGAAGAAAGACTAAGTAAACAAACACATAATATACTAACTCTCTCTAAAAGTCTGTTTTCTGCTATTCAGATAAAAAATGGCTGCAAGAAAAGTGAAGCCATCTTTGCCTTTTACAGTTTGCAGCTCCATAAATACAGTGCAGAGCCATTTGTAATGCACAAGCTGTTTTGGGTAATGAATCATTAATTGACAAAGTAAACACAGTATTATTATAAGAATGCTGGAAATGTTTTTGTTCATGTTCAGCATCCTTTGGGAACTTCTTGTACTTTGCTTAAGATTGCATCTCAGCAGGATATTTTTCCCCCCTTAAAAAAAATTGGAAAAGAACAGTCATTTATTTTGAAAGCTACAAACACTTTATAACGTTGCTACTAGAAAGGAGAATGCTGTCCCTTTCCCTTCTTCCCTGTTTCTTTTACATAAGGAGCAAAAAACATCAGTATTAGCACAAAAAATGCAACTGTAATTAATTACATCTGCCTCAGCATGAGTCATTGCTGTTTGTGATGTTTGACGGGATCTAACAACTATTGACATCATACAGGGATGAAGGTGATGCTGAGAGGATTGCACTGCAAATGGGAACACCCAAAGAGTGATAATGGGGCACTGACTACACTTTCAAGGCAGCCATTTCACAGAATCACAGAATATGCTGAGTTGGAAGGGACCCACAAGGATCATCAAGTCCAACTCTTAGCCCTGCACAGGACCATCCCCAAGAGTCACACCATGTGCCTGAGAGTGTCATCCAAATTCTTCTTGAACTCTGCCAGTCCTGGTGCTGTGACCACTTCTCTGGGGAGCCTGTTAGAGAGCCCAACCACCCTCTGGGTGAAGAACCTTTATCTAGTATATAACCTGAATCTCCCTGTCACAACCTCAGGCCACTCTCTCAGGTCCTGTCACTGGTCACCACAGAGAAGAGATCAGTGTCTGCCTCTCCTGAGGAAGTTGTAACTGCAATGAAGTCTTCCCTCAGTCTCCTTCTCTCCAGGCTGAACAGATCAAGTGCCCTCAGCCACTCCTCATACAGGTTCCCCTCAAGTCCCCTCACCATCTTCATTGCCCTCCTTTGGTCACTCTCTAATGGTTTAACATCATTCTTATATTGTGGTGCCCAAAACTGCCACAGTATTCAAAATTCTGCAGAGCAGAGCAGGACAATCACTTCTTGTTACTTGAATCTGCTTTACAGGTAAGAGACAGACACATTCATCACCAGCCATCTTTGCGTGGTCTATTACTACAAAAACAGCTTTATATGTGCAACAAAATCAGTTGTAAGAAAAAATATTCATGATGTGACCAATACATGGACCATGGACCACTATATCCTACAGTGGCATTTCTCATGGGCCACATTCATCCTGTTCTCTCCCCCCAGCAATTCCTCGATGTTCCCTCGCCCAGTACCCAAGGCATGTGTTTGCATTTATATCATGATACACTAAAGCATATCACTGGCTGTCTCTGTTCTTGACACAACCCTCTCCTCTTGCCAAAGAAAGCTTCTGAGCTGTGACATTGAAGGTTATATAGGGAGGCAAGGAAAAACAGAAAGGAAATTAGGTCCAGCAATCTTCCTCAGAATGTGTCACACATTTTTAAGTAATATTTTTTTGTTACAGGAGGTTGTTCGAGTGAAGGGCTGGGAAAAGAGAGAGGAGGGAAGAAAGGGAAGGATGGGTTTGTTTTTGTCTAAGTTCCCTAATCAATCTTTCAGGTTGCAGAGCAACATTCTTCACAACTGCACTGCAGCATCCAGCTTAAGTCCCACTTAAGAGCTAGGGAAAAGTCTTCACCAATTTAGCAGGGCTGCACTCTCCCTTTCCAGTAAGGACCAACTCTGGCCTTGCCTTCTCTTTCCTAGGCTGGGAAGAGCCGGCCAATTTTACTGAACAAAAGTTGTTGGCAAGGCAACTAAATCTGTGAGAGCCTTCTAAGTGTACAGAGTCTGAGTGCACATACAGATCAGTCTGCAGATCTGCAAAGCTCCACCATAAGATAGAGCTGCACGAGCACAGCAAGATAGGTTTTTTCACACTAGTCATAGGTGATAATCAAATGTCAAAACAACCCAAATATGATCGAACCGTCAACGTTTTCCAGTGCACAGAAGGCAGAGAGGAATCAGCACTCAGTGGAAGGGTGCTGAGGGACCAGCAAAACCATTTCAGTAAGAGCATGGTGGCCATCCTGGATGCTTACCTGGAATTATCCAGTGCCTCTGGACTGAAATTCCTATGTAAAAGACATCTAGACTACCTGTGCCAAACAAAAATCTGGTTTGAAATGCTGCAGTTTCTCACAATGAAAATTCTGGGGTTCGATCTGTGCAAAGCCTGTTTTAAAACAGAAGAACAAGATGGAAAAATTTCAGGGGCTACCATAAAGTCTTGCTGAAAAATTAAGATGTGTGGAGGCTCTGGGTTATCAGTTTCTCTCTGTTTAATTTTTTTCATGTCTCTGAACTAAATCTTTACAGGTAAACATATTATGTCATATTTAATAAAAGATAATTTATCCTATCAATGAATATCACAACAAATGTTGTCCCTCTTTTGGAAATAATAGACTTTTTTTTTTTTTTATCCTAAATCCTCAAACACTGAAGATAATTCAGATAAATTAAAATGAATATTCTTACTGATTCCAAGGCAGGGGTAGTTCCCTTGAACTTGAAGGACTACCATATGTATATTTCAAAAAAGTATTACTTAGTAATACCTAAGTGTAAAAGGAGGGTCAGGGCTTACTATTTTTAATACTATGAAATAAAAATTACTTTCTCAAAAAGACATTTTCCTTTTCATACGGAAATGTGATGAATGTATTAAAAAAATCCACCCAAAGTTGTTCATATCCTCTTACAAATCATGTTTCATATTTTTAATGTGATAGTCTGATCAGATGCAGTAGTTTAAAAATGGCTGTCAAAATTTCCTTTGTTGCAAGATTTTGAGTGTTTACTTCTTTAAGACAAATTGAACTGTTTTTATTTAAAGCACTGTGCTTTCAGAGGGAGTGGAACGGATTGCAAAATATGTTTTTAGAAATAGTTTTGGGGGTTGCAAAAATCTAATTAGAATACCTAGTGAAAAAAAATGCAGTCCTTTCTTACAATTCATTATGCTCTTATTCATTTTTTGTGAAAGATTCAAAAGTTAAAATTTGTGTCTCCATGCTGAAGTTTTAAATTTCAACACCAGTCCAAGTTAAAAATTTATAACTTTGAAAAATATTTAATTTACTGTACAGAAATGTCACAACTAAGCTTAAAAACCTAAAGCAATACTAAAGAAAAACTGGATTTAACAAAATAATATCTCTAACTCTGAAACCAGCAAATCACATACTAACTTTCAATTTAGCAAAAATTGCTTTATAATTTTGCTGCTTCTAATAAAAAGAATGCTTCAGAGTTAGATTAATTTCTATGCTGAATAAAAATGTGCAAAAAATAAAGTCATGCTGATTTTTGCAGAACCTCAGTATTTAGCATTATATTCCATAAAAATTGGAGGAATAAACTGTACTGCATAAGCATGGGTGACATTTTACAGGGAGTTCATGAAAGCTGGTAGTTGTGCAGGCTTTGAAAACATCTTTAGTAAAACTTCAGGGGACAGCCTTGAGCAAACTCGGTTATTATATATAGCATAACCTCCCAATTCTTCATGTTATGTGTCATCAACCAAAGTGTGTATACTATATATCACCCTATTTAATTAAACAGAGCTTTTTTGTGTAAACAAAAAGCATACTACTTAACCCTAAAGAGATCTCTTGAATAAAACTGCTCTTAGACCTCTTTCAATGTCACTGATTTTTTTTTTTTTGCTTTCTTACAAATACTTGCATATTGTGGGTAAACGAGCATGTAATTAGCTGTATTATCATAGTCTTTTATCAGAGGCCAAAATCTATAGGCCTACTTCATTGCTTAAAATTTGCATAGATTTTGAAGAGGTTACACCCAAACTAGTACCTGAAACCATATTAATTTTATAATCCCAGTGAAGGCAAACCAGACATAATGTGTGATGCTGAGTTTCTAGGTTTTGCAAAGAGCTCAGTACATGGTGTCAGTCAAGAAAAGAAGAACATAATTTTTCCATATAAGCACTAGTCACTGAAACTCTTTTAAAGGGCAGGTATCCCTGCCCTGTGTTTCTCCTGCTGTACAGATACAACACATTTGTCTCATCCTTTAGTGATATCTGTCTCAGCAGCACATAAAACAATACTACAGATAATGTTTGTTCAATTTTAATATAGTAAACCCCACAGTTGGGAATAAAATCAGAAATTCAAATCTTTACCAAATCATTGAAAGAGAGGCAAAAGTTATGGAAACAGCAGTTTTGTACCCCTGTATCTATTAAAACATATTTAGTCCAAACTACTGCCACCACGCTCTCCCTAATAACCTCCTCCTCAAATGCCATAGATTCTTTTCTCTGATGTTTTCTGTCAGACACAACAGAAGGGTTGCACAGGAGACTAGAAGCAGTCTATAGAGAAAAAGTAAAATTTGAAAAACATATTAGAGTTGCTACTTCAGTGCTAACAAGGGGCAAAATTAAGTTATATTCACATGAGGCTTATAAACAGTACTATGTGCTCCTCTGTGTAAACAACCAACACACAGCACCGTGAACAGTAGATCTGCACAAAAGAAGAGATGCAGGAGGTTACTTTAATGATAACAGAGTTTAAAATTGTTTATTACTGGTTCTTTGCATTCAGGGTCAATATAGCAGGAACCAAAGAGCTAGTGCCCATAATTTTTTGAGGGCTTACTAGATTTCAGAGTTAACAATTTCAGAAAATGAATAAAGGGTTCACTGTTCACAAAGATGCACCGGTTGTTCTTTGCTGAAAGGTTAATACATGTTTGCCTTTCCCTTTGGTTGTTTTTTGGAGTCTTTTGGGGGGCTTTGGTTTGTTTGTTGTTTTTTTTTTTTTAATAAAAAAGGCTAAATTTTTCATTAAAAGATTACCTAACAATTTACCTAAACAGTATTAGCAGATATACCACTAATATACAGAAAGCAATTTCAGAAGGACCTTCATTATTTCTTCTTGTGTTAAAAAACCAAGAATGTTTCAATAAGAATTTCCTTAGGAGGGTTCCCCATCCATCTCTTGCTTAAGGATATTTAACACACACTCTAAAGAACAATCTGATTATTGAACCTCTGCAGGGAACCACAGTCTTCTACTCAGACACCATCTGGGGCCCCAGTTTGAGTGGCTCTGTTCACTAGGATATACCACTGCCATGGAGTCATGCTATTAAAATATCTCATCTGACTTACATTTCACAGGTATTTCCCTTGAGATTGTTAAAGAGGGAATTATTTACTTTCCTTCAAAACCACCACAAGCCAGGAAAGAGTTAAGAGGATGCTTTCTTTTCCTGGAAAAAAAAAAAATTGTTTGAGATTACTTTTAGTTCAGAAACATTTCCAGTAGATTGGACTCCAAAAATAGGAGGTAGCTGCAACTGGTCTGCTTCCTCCTCTCAGTTTGTCCCTGAACCAGAAAACCTGTAAGCAGTGGCAGTAAAATGGTATTCAAGCTTTTTGAACAGATGCTGAGCACAGCACAGCTAAGCTGTGCTAAAGACTCACCAGAAAATTGCCTGTAAAACACAGAGTGAACAACACACGAGATCCATCACTCAGACCTACCAGCTCAGAAGCACCTGAGACTCTGCAGGTGGTTGAGCAGACTAGTAGTGCTGGGCAAGAGGAATTTTAGGGAAACTCAGAAGCTTCTCCAAATCTGATTAAACTGTGAATAGTAAATATTCTTGCTCCTGACTTCTAAAGAAAGCCTGGGCTAAGATGCTCTACCCCTCCCCCGTCATAAGAAAACTTTTAGGTCTCAATCTGCAGAGTTGCCTAGGAATTATAATATTATATCAGAATGCCTCACTGATAAAAGGTACTCTTCGTGCACTAATCAAGAAGCACAGAAATCCACCAAAATAGAGAAGACGTTACTTTGCTCCTTGCAGGAAAATTGAAAGAGCTGGGAAGAGAGATGTGCACACTCTGTTGCTCAGTCAGTTAATAGCAAATAAAATTTCTGCCCTGGAATCAGCATTCAGCACTTACAGGAACGTAACAATACAAAACAATGGCAAAGACAGTCAAATTATTTTACAACCGTAAAAATAATTGTGGAAAGTACAAGATTGGTTAACAATTGGCAACAGTAAATTAATGTTATTGTTTTAATTAGTTTCCTTTTCAGTTCATGAGTTGACTTCATAAAGCTGCTACTCTGTGTTGATAGACAAAAACGCTCACTTTCTGCAAAAGCAACATAACATAAAAAGTCTTTCTCCTTTCTCTTAAAAAAAGATGGGTTTGTTCATCTAGCTATAAACCAGCATATTAGTTTAAAAATAACTTAGGAAACTATGTCTTTCTGAATTGTGATTTTGCCAACACAAAGAAATAGCTCATATATTTATCTATCATTACAGCCTGGTTATGGGAACTAGAAAAAGGAATGCAATGATAGGAACATTAACCTTTAACAATGGTTGAGCTATAACCCACTCTTGTTCCAAGACTTCAGTTGCACAATGAGTCTTTTTACGATAGTTTAAAATGTCTTTTCTGATAGCAGTGTTTATAGAATTAGCTTGAGATGACATCTTCTTTTCTATTTCTCAAGGCCCTAGTAAAGCAGGGGAAAGAATGCATAGGGAAAACTAGACAGGAGCAATCTGCACGACTATCAGAGAAATGAGTCTGAGACCAGACGTTTTGTCAAGATTTCCACTGAGCAAGTCAGGATTCTCTGCCATCTCCTTTCTAAACCCAAACACTCACTGCAGAGCACTTGGTCCCCCACTGTTGGACTCCTTGGGGCAGATAGGAGCTTACATATTTTTTTATCCCTCTTCCCACTGCACTTCCCCTCTTTGGTTCTTCATGAACCTCGCCCTTCACACTTTTATCTCATTTTCTTTGCATACTCTACTAAGAATAGCATAGCAAGCTCTGATTAGCCATCTTCATACTACACACATCCTGTCTACATACTTTATATGTAGAATATAAGAACTTGGTAAAAATTGCCTTTTGGCAGCATGCAGGAGAACTTCCACTAAGAGTTACACAAACAGCACCTTTTACTTTGCTTGACTTTTGAAAGAGGGTATAAACTAGCCTACTGTGTGAGTTAAACTTCCTATAGTATTGCAGTGCTTAGTAGTGCATTCAGTATTCAGAACTGTGTTCAAACCATTTGAACGCTAAAAAGATGCTGGTTTTTTTAAATTTAAACCTGAAACAATTCAGAATATTTTTCTGAGTAAACCAGTTCACCATAATCAATATGAATTTGTAAAAAATCCTTTGATCTCTTTTAAGCAGATACCACGGGGAAAGGGAATGGTGTTAAAAGTGTAGCAGAGGTTTGGGAAAGTGACTTTAAAAAGGTAATACATTAATGAGATATGTCTCTTTGGAGAACTTTTTTTTGGGTTAGGGTTCAGTACTGATACATGTAATTCCATTTTTATGTGCAAAAGTGTGTGAGAATCAGGTTGTGAGTGTCTAAAGATTTTTCTTCCCCTCCAAGACTATTGGGCAGCAGCAAAATATTTTTATAAATTGCAGCACTCATTGTTGAAGTAACAGTACTTCATTTCCAAAAAGGTGAGTTGTACCCATGTCAGTAGAAACAAAATCCCCCCTTACTGCAATGTGAATTGAAGTTAAACAAAAGAAACTATATCAGTTATGCTAATTAAAATAATTCTTTGCACACATGATCATTTGCATTCAGAAAAATAAAACAAATTCGAACACATCTAAAGATTTCACATTTAGACAGGTCTCCTGATTGTATTTACACATGAATGCACATTTGAGGTTAATTGTAAAAGTTTTCTTTCCCTTTTTTAATGCTTCTCAGTCACAGGATTTACCTTGGAAAACTTGACTTGTGCTCAGAGTTAGATAGGATTCATCTGTATAGCATTTGAGTCAACAAAAATGCTGATTTTCAAATTAGCGATGCAACATTGCCTGCAAAGAGAAAAAGAAAATCTTTTTTTTTATTCCTGAAGACAGACCTTCTTTACATTTACCAGGTTACCAGCACAAAGTTCAACAAAGGAGAGAAGACATGACACCTACATTTGTTTCAGTTCAGAGCAGTCACGCAGTTTTGAGTTAAATTCCCAGGTCATGCTCATTTGCTGGGTATTAGTTTGATTCTCAGAGTTATTTCACTACACATGGACTAAATTCCTTAGGAGGAAACTGAACATTGTTCCAGATGTGCACCAAATGTCCTCCAGCTTCTACCAGGGACACAGGGCCTGGAGGAGATCAGCCCTGCTGACAGCTTCAAATGACATGGATCCCGGGGACTTCCATTAGAGGGGACCAGACCAAATCCAGTCCAATTCCTGCCTCAAAACACACCTAGTGCTGATAATGCAGCATCAATACCATCCATTTTGGCTTGCTCTCTGCTTCTATTGCACCTAAGGGCTTTCCAATGTCAACAGGCAGACTGGACAGTCTGACAAATACCAGAACTCAGACAGCTGCCACAAGAGCTAAACAATATGCACTGACAGGTGTCTTCTGAGTCTCCTGTATAGAGAGGAATATAATAATGTTCCTGGCTTCTAGTAAGTTCTGCACCCAATATTAAGTAGACATTTAAAATTTTAATTTTAAAGATTTTTTTTTAATGAAGATCTTTGTCCTTGGTGCAATCCCTGGTTATTTTCACCACATGTGACCTTCCCTTCAAGCAATTAGGTTTTTTATTAGTTAGGAAACAGCACTTGATCAGCGCAGCTTATGAAAGAGCATTTGTATATTGTGCCCTGCGTTCTCTAGTTTTATTGAGACCATCTAAAGACCTTTCTCTAGCCCATCAGATATTGCTCATCCATTCCCTTGGTTTTGCACAGCAAGAGGGGCCTCAGCCACTGACTGATTTGGCAGAGGAAAAATCATCACTGACTGACTCATCCACTCAGAGAACTGAGCTGCTTTCTGTGTAGAATTTTAAGATGTCCTCCCTTCTTAGAAATCAAAATTTTATACAGTACAGCACCAACATGCTGGAGACTTTTGATCTCAGCACCAAGACTGTAGGAGAAGGGGGTAAATTGCCTTGATTAGAGAAACACTCTTTGAGTTCTAAGGACATATATTACTGCTGGAGAAAGACTATTTACAAGAGCATGAAGTGACAGGACAAGGACTAATGGGTTCGAACTGAAAGAGGGGAAAGGTAGGTTAGATCTACAGAAGAAATTACTGTTAGAGTGGTGAGGCCCTGGCACAGGTTGCCCAGAGAAGCTGTGCATGACCCATCCCTGGAAATATTCAAGGACAGGTTGGATGGGGCTCTGAGCAACCTGGAATAGTGAAAGGTGCCCCTGCCCATGGTAGGGAGTTTAGAACTTTAAGGTTGCTTCCACCCCAAACCATTCTATGATATTACTGACAATTGCAGACTTCTGTCCTTGTTTACAAAATGGTGTTATTAGAAAAAAACAACAAACCCTGTATGGTTTTCACATATAACACAGTACCTACCTAACATTCTAGGACTAATTTACTGCACTCAGTGTTGCTAATTTGGAGTAGGGATAGATGTTTACAAATCCAGAAAAAATACACAGTATTTTTGATTCGATCATTAGTTTTGTGACTTTAGTATTCAATAAGCTAGCCAAGAAATTCTAAGCAGAAACACAGGTTCCCTTTAAATGTCACCATGCTTTCACTGGTAATATCTCAAATAAGTTTCATCAAGAACCATAAACTATAAAATCATGTTCTACTTCTACACACCCCAAGGCCTCTAGACCTCCTCTTGGATTCGTCTGGCAAGGCTTGGAATTTCTCACAGAAAGTCAGCCTTTGAAATAAGCCACATCTCAAGTATTTCTTGATTTTTTTGGCATCAAGGGCCATCTCTCTTAGTATTGTATCAGATTTTGCCAGGGGACATTTGACTATCCAATCTGTATATTAAGATCCATATTTGATCTCGATTGAAAGTGTGTCTACACTTCCTAATATTACTCTAAAAAAATTCACATAGTTGCAGGTTTGTAAGCTGTCAAGGAATTCAAGATGAGATTTGCCCAGTTACCAAGATGATTTCTGCCTGTCAGCCTTTTAAACATAAAGGCTTTTAAGATAAAAATAGATTAAAATTATTCAACATAATAACAATATACATTAACAGATCAGAAAACATGATTTTGTCTGAGGTTTCTCCTCCATGCAAGTTTGTTTCAACAACTTTTAAAAAGAAAAACCTAGCCAGTTTAACATCCTGATGCTTCTTCTTGGGGACACACTGATACAGAACAGCCACCTAAGACAGTTTATCATTTGGCT